CAAAGATAAAAAAACTACTTTAACTACACCAAACGGACCCTAACTCAGCAGAATACAAACATAAAGTAAACATTCCAACAAACTCTATTTTGACCCCTGCCTTCTTGTTTTGTGACATGTTTAGGGGAGCTATGTGAAGCGTTCCAGTTGGCATGCATGGACTTGAAATAGTGCTAGTTAACTATTTCCGGACTTCAAAAACACGCTAAACTGATTTGGGAACTCGAGAAGCCCAATGGTCACAAATCTGGGCCGTTGAGCCCTTTCGATCGCAGCCGTTTGACATCCACCCCTTTCAACTATAAATAGAGGCCCCAAGGGGGGGGACCATTTGCACATTCATCCTTGGAGTGGTCCCATTGAGGTCAAAGAGCTCGTCCTCTGAAGCTTGGTTTGCTTCCCGTTCCAGTTCGCTTGTCTTTGTTTCTAGCTTGTCCCGGGTGAGTCTCTTCTTCCTAAGTTCTTTTTCCATTCGTTTAATAGTTCCATGTCGAGTTCCACGACATAGGACTTTGCCGAGATGGAGAGAGCTGAACAAGCATACAGGGAGGTTGCGGGAATCGGCCTCTCAAGCTCACAGGGATTCAGAGCAGCTCGCCTTGATTCCCAACGAGCACGTTTCTATCCCGAATTTGCTTGTTGTTAGTCCTACCGAACCTTTCATTCCTCCCCAGTCCACTTTGGCCGACCTGCAAAGGATCCGACTTCTTTATGGGGTCCCCAATGAGTTCCAATTTAGACTCCCCACTCCCCATGAGGCCCCTTGGCACCACAGTGACAATGAGGTCTATGTGTTTGAGCAACATTTCGTTGCAGGGTTAAGGTTCCCCTTACCTCATATTGTCACCGACTCCTTGCACATTTTCTTCATCACTTTGGGGCAACTCACCCCAAATGCAATTAGGATAATAGTTGGCGTCGTCTCGTCTTGTCACGCCCATGGCATCCCCATCGACATCCGAGCTTTTATTGCCTTCAAGCACACTCTTGGGGATGAGAAGTTTTTCTACTTCGCCTTCAGATCCGATAAGAAGTTCCTTGAAGGTCTTCCCAACAAGGTCTCAGACTGGAAATCAAAGTACTTCTTTGTTGTCCATAATGGCCCTTGGCAATTGATTAACCGGCAGGGCGCAGCAATCACCAACCCTGAGGGCCAGTTCTTGTCCTCGGAGGCAAAGAAACGATTGTGGGAGCTCGCACTTCTTGGGTTGAAGATAGATGACTACTTGATCGAGGACGCTCTCCTACGAGCAGGCCTGAGCCAAGAACGTCGAGGTAGTTAGATCCAGGTACAGTATGGATCGACTTGTTGGCAGACTGACCGCTTTGAAGAGGCAAAGGTCAAAGAAGAGGAAGACCACAGAGGGTGAGTCGTTCCAAGCTGTCGCTGTTCGACCTGCCCCTAGCTTGGCGGAGGTCATCGCTTTGGAGGATGAAGTTCCTCCAGCCTCTACGGCCGAAGTTCCTCCAACCTCTACGGCCGAGGTGTAGGCTCAGCAAGAGGGAACCCCAACACCACTTTCTTCAAAGGTCGTTCTGAGCTTCACCGTTCAAGATAGATGACTACTTGACCGAGGATGCTCTCCTACGAGTAGGCCTGAGCCAAGGACGCCGAGGCAAGCTGGAAACGAAGACAAGCGAACTGGAACGGGAAGCAAACCAAGCTTCAAAGGGCGAGCTCTTTGACCTCAATGGGACCACTCCAAGGATGAATGTGCAAATGGTCCCTCCTTTAGGGCTTCTATTTATAGCCGAAAGGGGTGGACGTCGAATGGCTGCGATCAAACAAGCTTAATGGCCCAAATTTGTGATCGTTGGGCTTCTTGACGTCCCAAATCAGTTTAGCGTACTTTTGAAGTTCGAAAATAGTTAGCTAGCACTATTTCAAGTCCATGCATGCCAACTGGAACACTTCACGAAGCTCCCCTAAACATGTCACGAAACAAGAAGGCAGGGGTCAAAAAAGAGTTAACACCCAAACATGCGACATAGTCAGATACTTCCTTCACCCGAGCTTAGTCACCTCAGCTTCGGAAGTGGGGGGCAAGTGATGAGCGTAAGTCTGGCCTCAGAACTACCGGACATGTGGCACGCTTTGGTGGACTTGTAGCCTTTGCTTTCAGATTGAAACTCGCCATCCTACCATCATCTCAGAGGATAAGAGTCACCACGGCAACATGTAAAACCACCTTGAGCTTCTTAACTCAACTCGTATGTACAAGCAATTCCGACCTCGGTGAGGAGGCCTCCTTGTTGAGACGAGCTCCCCTCCAGGAGAGCTCCTCCCTTATTAGCGAGATGAGCTTCCCTTCCAGGAGAGCTCCACATTCCAATACTTGTCCTTCAAGTGACCACCTGGCGGTACATGCAGCAAGACTGTCGACACGTAAGGTAGCTGGTCTCGGGCCAACTTCATACATTGGAAACGTGGAGGACAGATCGCCATAACATGTCACAGTTAAGCACCAGGTGGCTGATACATGCAACAGGTGACTTAACGGGTAGCCCTGATTAGGCTCCAGGCTCTCGAGTCGAGTTCTAGGTGCCTCAACCGGATACCAGATGGCTTGAATCTGGCCACAAATGTCCGAGCCAAGCACTATGTGGCCAATCTCGAGTAACAGGTGTCTTGACAGAGCCCCAGGTGTCCTACCCATCTCCACCAAGGCAAAGCAAGCTCCAGGTGTCTTAAGCTACGACAAGTGTCCTACACCTGTCCGAAAAGTATGTACTCTGACAGGCATCCCGAATCCTATATAAGGGGCAGGTTAGCATTGAATCCATACTTTATGACTCATTGAATATCCAACCGCCCTCTAGATAACTCGACATAACTGACTTGACCATCGGAGTTACAAGCCTGGGATATCACTCCAGGCCCTCTGACCTCGTTTTCCCTCTTACAGGACACACCCGAGCTGCTCTAGGGACTTATGCACTTTTTGACGACATCACTATCCTTCCACCTTTTTTATTTATTTCTCTGTCCGCCTCTTTCTTTTGACAGCCTATACTATGTTTACAACCTTGTATTCTATGGATTTCTAAAAGCCCCATAACATCACAGTTAGTAATAAAGAAGGAACAAGAAAGTTAAATGTTTCTCTAAATGGACTAATCTGTAGTTTTTATAGAGCTTTCACTTCATTAGTACGTTATACTCGATACATCTGAAATCCCAATATAAAGTTGATGGCAAAATGGATCTCCTAAAGATCAAAGTGGCTCAATGGATTTTGCACAAGGACAAAAGCAAGGGACATCCTATATGCTCAATTATGAGAGGATGGTCCATGGTGGTTGATTATACTCAAACAAGCCAACAAATTCTTCATCGTTGAACAGTCTCTGAAGAAAGATATATTAAACTGAATTTTGATGGGTGTTGCTATGGTATATTAATAGGAATTAGAGTACTTAGAAGTGAAATTGGCTTTGCATTATTTACTCAGGTAGTCAAACCCAGTGAAAGAAGGAAACTCTTTTGAGAGTATCGATACTTGACCTATGACAAGGTTTAAAACTAGTTACTCTTCCAATAGAAACAAATTGATTTTTAAATGTTATAGTCAAGTGGTAATTTCCCGGTGCATTCCCGCAACCTATGGTTCTTGGTCTCTTAGACATATGATAAGAGAGGCTAAGGCTTTGGCTTCAAATATGAATTGCTCCTTCAACTGGATCATGAGGTCATCCAATAGCCTAGCCGATTCTTTGGCAAGAGGAATCACACGATCTGATTTGGCTTGGAGAGCTCCAGGCCCAGGGTTCAATTTGTAACAAGTGTAATATGCAAAAAAGGTTTCAACCATATAAGCTGTTTTGTACTGTTTTCTTTTGGAGCAATAATGCTTTGTTTTATACTGGTTCTCACATAACAAAGAGTGATGGCAAATATTTCAAACAATGTTTTAAAATGTGGTGGTGTGACGCCAGGCATTTCACTGCCTAGAGGCGTGAGGCCTAGTTTAGAATGTAAGAGGTGTAAGCCTCCCATAAGAAGGGGATGAAGAGGAAGAAGAGGAAGGAGGATGAGGCGAATGAGACCTAGTTCATCTTTCTTCCTTTTTCATACGAGTCATGCATGAGGCGTACGCCTCTAGCACACCTCATGCAAAAGGTGTATGAGGTGTGCATCTCATGGATCTGAAGCATAGGCTTTAGAGGCACCAGTGCCTCTGAAATACACCTCAGGTCGTTTTAGGGCAGCTCTAGCTATATGCCTCCCATGCCTTTTAAAACACTGAATTCAAATTTTGATCATCTCATCATCATCATCATCATCATCATCATCTAAGCCTTATCTAAACTATATGGGGTTGGCTACATGAATCCTGTTTTGCCAATCTACTTCGACCCATGTCCTTTTTGGTCTGCCCCAAGCCCTTCTAGCTCCTTCAACTTGTCACATATCATTTCTTCTTAAGGATTCTATAGTTGTCTTCTATGCATGTGGTCAAACCATCTTAGTCTAGTTTCTATCATTTTATCACCCATTGGAGCTACTCCTAAGTTTCTTCAAATTGTGATTATCTGAAGAGACCAAAAAAAAAAGAATTATAATCAGAAAGGCACCTTTGTGTTATTTCAGGCTTGGGTTTCATGCCAGGCCCATTCAAATTTTGGCAAAAGTCAAGCCCAAGACCGGCCCATGAACAGGTTACAGGTCTACTTGTGACATCAATGGGTCCTTTAATTGAAACATAGACTCAAAAACACACACAAAAACAATAGTAATAATAATAATAATAGTAATAGTAATAGTAATACAAAAGTTACAAAAACTATTCATTATGACAAAACTAAAACCAAGATCTGTCTTGAAATACTTTTAGGTGATCCCAAGTACAAGAGCAAAAAAACTGTGTAGATACTAGAATATGCATCTGAGATTAGAACCATCCATTTTCACATAATTCAATGACTCACACAGAAATTATATTGCACACATCAAACACTAGTTATCTTGAGAAGATTGAGAAGAATGTGGAAGAACTAACCTTCAACCACGAGTCCACAAAGGCCCTAGAGACGACTGGTCATTTCTTGCATGAGCAGCCTGAGTACGCATTGGAGGTGCATGGACAGTTATTGGAAGAACCCACTCCCCTTTATCTCTCCCCTCTATAAGAAGGGAATGTTCATATCTGAGATACAAGAAAGGATCAGAAACAGAGATTGCTTGAAAGAGATGATTTACAAGTGCCCACTCCCCTTTCTCTTCCCTTTCCCTATTGCTGCTCTTTTCTTATTTATTTGCAGCTGGAAAAAAATGTATGTGCAGAAAATAATCTTATGATGTTGACCCTGTGAATTATGGAACAACACCCGGATGAAATTAAAGCAGTTATATCAGACTATTCAAGAACAAATATGTGAAAACATGGAAGGCATGCAGAAAAGTCTACATATTTAAATGTGTCCTATAGAAGAGATTTAGAGTGCAGAAAATCAATCATATTTGCTTATCTCTAACCTTAACATGTTTTTATTTTTTATTACATATATTATTTTTTTTTAAATAAGTTAACTGATTTCAGTGGACATCTAGGTTGTGCCCATTCAGTGGTACCAAAGTTCCATCTCGGAGTACTCACATTATATTCTCCTTTACTAAAGAATTGGGAACGCACTAACAGTGCCACTGTATATTAGAAATTCACATTAAAAAAAGCACAGTAGACAATATTGAAAAAGAAAGGTAGCAGGTGATTATTACTTCCAACTGGAATTTTCAACAAAACTGAACTATGAATCAAGCATAAAAACCAACTTTTTTTGATAGGTACAAGAGGGTCCACAAGTAGAATGATAATGTTTGGTGTTTATCTCAAATAGGAAATTGTAAAATCATTAAAAAAAAACGGGAAATTTGTTCAAGAATTTTATGGCTTTTTCTTTCATTTGAGGAAAAATTCCAAAAACAAGCAGGTACCTTTGTGTATATTTTTGTCACCCAATTTCCCAGAGCAGAATTTCATGTGTTTGATGCTCAATTCCCTTAACAGCAACTTTGTTCAGCTATATTCTTGTTGCTCTAAGGTTCAATAACCCAAATGCACCCAAAAGGGATACTCCAACCACTAACATGCTATAGTGATACTAAATACAGTGATACGAATACGATATGACATACAAAAGCATCGGTTAATCCCATATTAGAAAATCTCAAAATACAAATAAAAGATCATAATTCAATTACATCAATATTTCTTATGGGGTGCTAGGCAGTAGGCACATGTTCCTTTGTATATCATTTGTTCACAGAATTAATAAAGTTTTTAACAGTTATTACCAATAATAAACAATGACATTAATATGGTGTATGTGACACCATCACAGTGGCAAACAAATTAAAAATCTTGAAAGGACTATCCAATGTTGTGTAGCCCATTTGCCAACAGGCCCTATATATATATATATATATATGTATGTAAAGAGACTGGGCCGAACGGGCCCTAGTATCTATTATTGTAGTTTGTTTTTTATTTATTTGTTGCTAATGGGCCTATCTTAATGGGCCTGTTATTTCTTTTTCTAGTTCTCTTTATGTTACTGCCTAGCTGGCCAACCACTTAAGGGTATACTTGTAATTATGTTAAGACTGACGTTTAGTAAAAGGATTAGAGAAGGGAGGGAAGAGATATTCGAACTCTTCTTCTTCCTCCTCCTCTTTTCTCCATCTTCTTTCTCTTGTACTGCTGTTCTCTTCTTTTCTTCCTCTTTTCTCTTTAATTTTTCCAAGTTTACATCTGTTTTAGAGGACTGATTTACATCTTGGTATCAGAGCAGGTTTCTTTCTTCCTTCTTTTCCTCTTTCTCTTTTCCCATACACCCTTCGATTAAGAGAGTGTATGGAGAGATAGCTTCTCTATAGTTCAGAGGATCTTTTGCCTAGTTGGTAGAGAGTTTGGGAGGTGTCTTTTGACTTCTAAAAGAGGGCGGTTCAGGTTTGGAAGAGATTGGGAAGCTTTGGTAGGAGCGGTTGTATCTTCTCTCTTTCTCCCCAACAGCCGAACGCAGTAAAACCCTAGTTTTCAAGCATTTGGGTACTAGTTTGACTTCAAGTTTATAAAGACCAAATTTTTGGTTTTTGATTTTCGTTTGATTAATGAAGCAATACGGAAGTGAGTTCAAGCAAGTTCCGGCTTTCGGGCCTGGCTCGGTAGATTCCATTTTGACTAGTGTGACCACAATTAAGCTAGATGGGACAAATTATCTTGCTTGGGAACAATCTATAAGAATTTATGTCTGTAGCAAAGGAAAATTAGAGTACCTCATAGGCAGTAAAGTGAAACCTGAAGAGACAGACCCTGAATTTGAGAAATGGATGCAGGAGAACTATACTGTCATAGAATGGTTGGTCAACTCTATGCAGCCTCATATAAGTCAGCACTATCTTTGGATGTCCTCAGCCAAGGAGATTTGGGACAGTGTTACTGAAACTTATTCACAGAAGTTGAATGTGGCTAGAGTCTACAAGCTGAAAAGTGATGTGAAAAACCTAAGACAGGGGGGATAAGAGTGTAGCAATCTACTATATATTGAAATCCTTATGGCAGGAAATCGATGTTATGGAGACAGTTATATGGGAGAGTAAGAATGATGCAGAAATGTTTAGGAAGTTGGTGGAAAGAGACAAGGTTTTTGAATTTCTTACTAGACCCAACCCTGAGTTTGACATTATTAGGCAGAATATTCTGGCCAAAGATGAGATTACTCTTGCCCAAGCATATGCTATGGTGAGCAGTGAGGAGAGTAGGCGGCAGGTTCAATTACAGAGTCCACCTACGAAACACTTTTCACATGCTGGAATAAAGCCGAAGGGTCCAACTAAGAAGGAGCAAGTATGTGAATATTGCAAGAAACCGAGGCATACGAAGGACACTTGCTGGAATCCTGATCTTCTACCTGACCGGTTTAAGAATAACAACAATTTTAAGAAGGGCAGTCAGACAGGAAAGCCTAAGACAGCTAATGTTGCCATAGTACCTGAAGGAGGAAGTAAGGAGAGTGAAGAGATGTCCACCATTGAACAGTTGGCATCAATGAAGGTAGAATTAGAAAAGTATGGAAGGCTATTAAATCACTTGGAGGCTACTGTTTCTACATCTCACTCTTCAGGCAACACATCATCATCATCAGCTTTTGCTCACTCAAGTATTCATGCTTCTACAAACCATGCTTCAGTTTCAGGTAATCATAAAATCCCTTGGATCATTGATTCTAGTGCATCAGACCAATATGACCAGCTTGTCTAACCTTTTCTGTTCATACCATCTTCTCTCTGGTAAAGAAAAAATATCCCTTGTTGATGGGTCATCTTGCTGCCATTTCTGGAAATGGGGACATAAAGACCTCTAACACCCTTTATTTATCATATGTCCTTCATGTCCCTAAACTTAATACAAATCATTTATCTGTTAGTAGCTTAACTAAATCCATGAACTGTAGCATACCTTCTTTCCCACTCATTGTATTTTTTAGGACCTACAGTCTTAGAGGATGATTGGGAGTGGCCATGAGGCGAATGGAATATACTTGCTGGACACACCTGATAGAGCTCTTGGTCCACCTCATGGAGTTGCCTTGGAGTCAGTCTTGTCAGTCTGTTGACAAAGTCATGTTATGTCACTTTCGGTTTGGTCATTTGTCTTTTCCTACTTTGAGTCATTTATTTCCAGATATGTTTAAGGTTGTGAACTAGCAAAGCATTACAGACAATCTTATTCAGTAAGCAATAAAAGATCTATTTCTCCTTTTCATATTGTTCACTTTGAAGAACTACTGGAGACATAGCAAAGGGTTCCTCAGATTTCTCCCCCTCAGGAGGAATACTAAAGAAAGGAGTCGACTCAACAAATGTTACATCCCTAGATACAAAGTGGGTGCCACTAACCGAATCAAAACAACAATATCCCTTCTGTGTGGAGGCACATCCCAGAAAAACACATTTACAAGCCTTAGGTTCAAATTTGTGTCTTTGATGGCTGTGAACATGCACATAGAAAGTGCACCCAAAAACATGGAAAGGAAGAGAGAAGAGATCATCATCAGGAAAGAGAAGGCTAAAGGGGGTTTTGAAGTTAAGAACCCGAGAAGGCATACGGTTAATAAAAAAGGTAGCAGTAAGGACAGCATCTCCCCAAAATTTTATAGGAACATGGGATGCAAAAAGGAGGGATCTGGCAACTTCAACCACATGTCGGTTCTTCCTTTCCGCCACTCCATTCTGTTGTGGAGTGTAGGAACAAGAACTTTGATGAATAACCCCAAAAGTTTCAAGATAGGCTGAAAGGATTTTCTCAAAATACTCCTTAGCATTATCAAAACGGAATATTTTGATCCGGGTGTTAAACTGGGTGAAAATGAGTTCATGAAATTTTTGCACAATAGCCGGTACTTCATCCCTAGATTTCATGAGATAAATCCAAGTGTAACGAGAGTAATCATCAATAAAAATGATAAAGTACCTGTAACTCCCCATAGTAGGSAAATGATATGGCCTCCACACATCAGAGTGAACAATATGAAAAGGAGAAATAGATCTTTTATTGCTTACTGAATAAGATTGTCTACAATGCTTTGCCAGTTCACACGGCTCACAATGAAGACTTGATAAAGACACTCCCTTAAACATATCTGGAAATAAATGACTCAAAGTAGGAAAAGACAAATGACCAAACTGAAAGTGACATAACATGACTTTGTCAACAGACTCTTCCCGTTCCTTTTAGTCATCTCATGAGGTGTCCACTTCTCCCATTGGACCTACCTCCAATATTCCTGTTCCTTCTCCACCTCATCCTGTTCTCCAAAGGTGGTACCAAAGGCACAGATTCAAACATGGGCAAGTTGTTTCCACTCCTACAGAAGAGCCTCTTGCTCCTCCCATCATTACTGAGGTAACAGGTCAGCCTTCCTTTGACCCATCTACTTCTTTCCCAGACCTTGATCTTCCTATTGCTCTCCGCAAGGGCAAGCRGAAGTGTACAACCCATTGTATCTCCAAACACCTGTCTTATAGCCTTCTATCTCCTACCTATTACTCTTTTCTTGCTTCTGTTTCTTCCCATGTGATACCCAGGTCTGTACCAGAAGCCTTATCTAAACCTAAATGGAGGGATGCTATGATGGCTGAACCGGATGCTTTGCATAAGAACCATACCTGCGATATTGTTGACTTGCCTGAAGGGAAGGAACCAGTGGGTTGTAAATGGGTATTTGCCATTAAATATCACTCTTATGGCTCTATTGAGAGGTTTAAGGCCAGGCTGGTTGCTAAAGGTTACACTCAGATGTATGGTATTGACCATTTTGAGACATTTGCTCCTATGGCTAAGATGACCTCAGTTCGGGTCTTGTTATCTCTAGCTGCTACTTTGATTGGCCTCTCCATCAGTTTGATGTTAAAAATGCCTTCTTGAATGGAGATCTACATGAAAAGGTCTATATGTCTTTGCCTCTGGGGGTGATGTATGGAAAGGAAATGCAAGGAAAGGTGTGTAAACTGCAGAAATTCATTTATGGTCTCAAACAGTCTCCTCAGGCTTGGTTTGAGAGGTTCAGGGCTGCTCTTGTCTCCTTTGGTTACACACAAACTCAATCTGATCATACCCTGTTCTCGAAAAGAAGTGGCTCTCTGGTGACCTTTTTGATAGTTTATGTTGATGATATTGTGGTCACGGGTAATGACACCCAAGAGGTCAGTAAACTCAAAAGATTTCTTAACTCTAAATTTGAGATCAAGGATTTAGGAGATCTTCGATACTTTTTGGGCATTGAAGTTGCTAGATCTAAGGATGGTATCTTCATTTCTCAGCGCAAATATGTTCTTGACCTCCTTGTTGAGACTGGTAAACTTGGTGCTAAACCAGCCTCCACTCCTATTGATCCCAATCATAAACTTTCTGCTACAGATGGTGAACTTTTATCTGATAGGGGAGTGTTTCAGAGACTGCTTGGGAAGTTGTTATATCTTTGCATGACTCGGACGGACATTTCCTATGCAGTGAGTGTTATTAGTCAATTTATGCATTCTCCTAGAGATACTCATTTAGCTGCTGTAGAAAGAGTTTTGTGTTACTCAAAAGGTACTCCAGGGAAAGGTATTCTATTTGCCAAACATGGACACATGAAGCTAGAAGCATTCACTGATGCTGATTGGGCAGGATGTATTGATGATAGGAGATCCACCTTGGGTTATTGTGCTTTGGTGGCAGGGAACATTGTTTCATGGAGTAAGAAACATTCTGTAGTTGCCAGATCCTCGACTGAAGCAGAATACAGGGCAATGGCACATGGTGTATTAGAATTACTGTGGCTACGATCCCTTTTAGAAGAATTGGGGRTTGACTATGAGAAGCCAATGATGCTCTACTATGACAACCAAGCAGCTATCAATATTGCACATAATCCTGTTCAACATGATAGAACTACGCACATTGAGGTTGATAGACATTTGATATGGGAAAGAGTTTCCTTAGGAGAAGTTTGTTTGCCATTCATCACCTTTGAAGAACAGTTGGCTGATATTTTGACCAAGGGAGTTCCAAAAGGGAAGCTGACACACTATATAAGCAAGTTGGGCATGATTGACATCTATGACCAACTTGAGGGGGAGTGTAAAGAGACTGGGCCGAATGGGCCCTAGTATCTATTCTTGTAGTTTGTTTTTTATTTATTTGTTGCTAATGGGCCTGTTGTTTCTTTTTCTAGTTCTCTTTATGTTACTGCCTAGCTGACCGCCCACTTAAGGGTATACTTGTAATTTATGTTAAGACTGAAGTTTAGTAAAAGGATTAGAGAAGGGAGAGAAGAGATAATTCGAACTCTTCTTCTTCCTCCTCTTTTCTCCATCTTATTTCTCTTGTACTGCTGTTTTCTTCTTTTCTTCCTCTTTTCTCTCTAATTTTTCCAAGTTGACATCTGTATATATATATATACCAAAGGTGAAAATGGTAACATAAACAATGACAGTATCATACATTTCAGTTGTACCTAGTCCAGTCTACATTCTTCGGAGTAGTAAAGAATTCAAATCGGAGAGCCCATTGCACAGAAACACGGGGTGTGGAAAATGACATGGGTCCATCCATGGGAATAGAAAAAAGAAAGCTTGTCTGCACCAAATCTGCAACAACTTCATGGTAATCACTCTGAACCTAAAAGAAAAGACAAATTGGTTAGAAAAATTAACTGAAATTGATGCCAACACTGAGGAATAAACCATAAAGGAGTATGGCAAAACTGAAGGTGAACAAAAGCAATAAAACACAAAATAAATTAACAGAAATAAACATTTTGGCATGGACACTCGTACTGATTTCAAAGCAGATAAAATGTGTTGCAGTGCCCTCTGAAAGCCCATCAAACTTAACATACCTTTATAGGGCTCAGATCTGCTACCCGCAAGCTGTTCCCACATCTATACCCCCGAGACATTACAGGTGCACATTGGGAACATCTCCATTGTCATTCGTGGGGAGATGTTCCCAATGCACGGTGGTGGTACTCTGTGGGTAGGTATGTGGAAACAATTAGTGGGTAGCAGATCCAGAGTGACCTTTATAGGTTTGGAAGACTATATAACATTAGTACAATTTTTATACATTGATAAAGCAAGAATACTATATAGACACAATCATCTTAAAAATACTTCTATGACATCGGAACAAAAGAGTACAGGAAAAATGAGTATAAGATATTATCCTGGGGTCTTGACAAAAAGCATGTGATACTGACACCTTGAGGTTCACATCAAGGAAAGGATCAAGGAAAACACCTCAAGCCTCTAACCTTAGAAGGCTGAATGCTTGCCTCTAAACTTAAGTATGCATGACTGATCCAAATAAGTAAGAAAAAACAAGGAAGTTTGTCTTAAATTGGGGTTCTTTTTTTTTCTTTTCTTTTCTTTTCTTCTTCCTTTTTTTTTAATTTTTTGAACTGGTGTTCAATTTACTATGGCATGCATAGGAAAGTTGGGATGGATATTAACATGGATTTCAACAAGTCAGATCATTATGCACATACAATTTGGTTAAGCAAGATATGGATTTCAAATAGTAGATCTGCTTAAATTGGATGAAATCTAGATCCACCCCAATGTGATCCAACTATGATCTGATACACCAAAGTTATTTATGTATATAAATATATGCATATACTGATAAAAAAAGGCATGAGCATATAAACTAAACATAAATTTGTAAATAACATTAGTTTGGTTTTCATGTACTTATCTGAAAGGTTGCGGGCTTCAAGTCTTGTGACAGTTTCAGTTGAATGGAAGACAATTTCAGTTTATTTTCTCAAGGATATATAATAGAGTCACAAGGAACATTTTTTTAGTGCTTTTATAATGATACATGATATCCAGATCCAATTAGTCTGATCCAAACCCAATGAATTGGGCTTAATTTGAATCTGTATTAATCAGATTATTCTGGGAAGTTTTCATAAATGATTCTTCCTCAGGTATATCCAATCTAAATCAGACCTGTCAACAGCCCTATATTCAGAAAAGTTACAGTTGGAATTTGTGGATCTGAGTCACTGTATTTTTTCTTTTTTATGAACATCAACAACAATCAAAAGGATTTTACTAAAGAATCAAGAAAGAAAGGTAGGCTGCTGCTTTGCCTAAGATGGGTAAAAGGAAGACCCATGATACACAGCTAGAAGCTGATGAGCAAAATACTGTAAGTTCTTTCTTTCTTTCTTTTATCTTTCTTTTTTTCCCTGGTAAGGGCATCTAGAACAGTTTAAGCAAAATAACACAATGTCACTGTTATTAACAAAAAATCTAGAGAAGTAGGAAATAGAGAGTGCCAAGGATTTAGGTAGAATTTAACTAAAGGCCTGAAAAGGACTAGGGAGGAGTTCCAAAAAGAGGAAAATTGCTTTATATGGAGTTCTCTTTAAGTTAACATCCCAGTGTTTCCATCCCTACTACAAGGTGATGTGGACAGAAAAACAAGTTATATGCAGCACTTGAAGTATACAGCAATAAGAATAAAATACCAAGCTGAAAACAACAAAACAAGTTGAATTTTTAGAGATTTTAGACTTGGGACTTCTTCTGGAATAGTTTCACTACAATAACAATGGCATCAAGCTGGCCACTCGCGGGACATGCAATGATAGAGGGATTGGAAGGTGCCAAAATGGGTTGACTCCTCAAAACCAAAGCTCCCAATACTTGAAAACCCTAGTTGGGGCTGAGCTATAGCTAAAACAAGAAAAAAAGAACCAAAAAGACCACTACAGAAACAACTTCCTTGTCTTTTATAAGACTCAATGGCTTGTTGGACAAGCCAATTAAAATATTTACAAATAAGCCCCTAAAATGTTCCCTTTGACAAACAACTCCTTAAGAACAAAAAAACTTCAAACAAACCCCCAAAAGACAAACTTTTGTTACAAAAAGACCCAAGACCAAAACCAAACAAATGTGCACCCAACTGCCCCTAACCAGATTCTGAATTATGAAAACGATGAAAATACCCCTGGATCCAAACTGTCAACAAAGCTACTTAAAAACAACAATTTGGGATCCTACTACAAAAAACATACAATGATACAAATATAGAACACATTCACATTTCTCTCTTTTTTTCTTTTTTTCTTTTTTTCTTTTGGGTTCATCATAAGGCATTCTAGGGCCTGGGACACAAGTAATGGATGAAATTCAATAGATGGTCCATCACTTGATTTCTACAAAAAAGATAAGATTAGCCTATGTTTCAATCATCAATTAGAACATAGGAACAACATAACAATCATAATAGCAAGAGATTATTAGGGAGAGAACAGGAAGAAACGAGAGAAAGTCCTTAGAAGCACTTGAGTCCTCCTAGGAATAAATAAGTCATAGGAATCCCCACCAAGTTGGTGGCATCGATTTCAAATTAAATTCAACATCATTAGTCAACTTATGGGATATATTGACAGAATTATTGTTCTGCCTCTGCTAACAAAAGTGAAAGAAAAATCACATAACTTCATATCTACTGATCCAGTGACTATGAAACCATGAACATAAGTAAACAATTTTCTAACTAAAAATCCTAATGGCTGGATTCCACACTGGATAAATACAATTTTTTGCAGAAATACACTTAGAACCCCAAAAAACCCAAGATAAGCAAACAAAAATCTACCTAAGTCCTAAGACTATCACTATTGACATGTAAAAAATTATTGAATGGCCTATTTGAAGATGTCATCCAATTGAGAGTTTCTTTTATAGATTTCCTAGCCAGTGGAATTTGATATAATAACCATGGCATTTCATCTCCACTTCTTGGAATTGACAGTTTTACATCTTAATATCGTTGACTTTGCATATAAACTGCCAATTGAAGGTCATTGTTTTTCAGTATGTACAAAACTAGGAAGATAAATCTTACTCAAGTTCCTCTTCATGTTAATCTTATATGTGATGTTTGAGCAGTTGATGCATCATACATACATAGGTAAAATACATTCATTCACCATTCCCCTAGGCCTTTAACTCCCTTCAGCCCCAAATTCAAAATTGTCAATATACCCTTACAACATGGGTAAAATACTCTCCATTTCTATCTTTTTTCTTTCAATTCCATAAACATATATTCTAACAAATCATGGAACTCTCGCCCCTCCAGATAGAAGCTCCATCATTTTGATCTACTTTATTTGCCCGATAACTATGATTTAGTGTTTTAAGTTTTCAAAAAACAGGGCTTAACTTGTGTGTGTATGCATGTTATAACAGTAAAGTTGTATTAATCTCGACAAAAGGTAAAGAACAAATTCTATATATTATGAATAACAAACTTGATATACAAGCTCAAAATTATGACACATATGTCAAAAATACATCAAGTATATCCAAGAAAAATGATGAATTGGATGTCAATATAGCACGAAAACATGCACAAGCAATATGCCTAGATTCTCTACAAACAAAAGACAACATTAGAAAAAGATAAGAACATGATACACTTTTATCACATTTTATCTTTATGATAATTAAATAAAGGTTCTTCATGATGGGTTTAGTTTCTTACTGCTGTGTACTTTGCTTGTACTTTAATAATTGAAGAGGTTGTGAAATTGTTACTGATAAAAAATAACTCAAAACATGATAACATCACTTTTTTTTATCAATCATGATAAATTGATAACATCACTTGAAAAGCATGTTATCAATTCATACAACTTTATTTCAAACATTACGTATTATTTCACTTCTGAGATGCTTCTTTGTTTTGCTTGGGTGTTATTGCAACAGTCTTTTGTAATTTCTTCTTTTTCATTATTGAAGCTCTCTTTTATTTTACCACCCAAAATTATTTTTCATTGTTGTTGAAAAACAGACTGACCATGTTAACCTGACAATTAAAACTGGTAACCATAGCCTCATACAGCAAGAAACAAACTCATACATGCTACGCTTTTAAACAATGAATATGAAAAAAAATAAAAGGATACCTTTGTGATTGTTGGGGAATTCCTTCGTGAAGGATGAATAAAACGCTGACCTATAGTTTCTGAAGTCTCCAAGGTTATTGAAACCTGTAAGATATTAATGACTTTGTCATTATAACTCCATGACAAGCAGCAATTCAGCTTAAAAGTGAAAGAGCCATAAAATTAGAAGAAAATATTATATTACTTCAAAGGAATGTTCTACTGAGCCAAATATACAAGTACCTCAAGGCATCTCCTTGTTCCTTCTTCATGAAAGAAGGTGAGAGTCCCACCAATCTGTTGCCAAATATAAAAAATGCCATAACTACATTAGACATTGGAGTAATGCAGAACATGAAATTAAGGATATATAGAATGTTTACCATGTCACTGAAGTAATAAGTTGAGTCAGAGTTCTTTGGAGAAAATCGGAGCAAAACTTGGTCATCCAACCTGATATTATAAGACTTTCCTCGAATAAAGCCTTCTGCTGCAGAAAATGATTTTCACAAATAAGCTTACCAGACAAGTTGGGAAATCCTAGAGATTGGACAGAACATTGTTACTGATACTAGAAGGAAATTATGATGATTTACATGCAATAGGTTCAATATTTCCATGTACAACAGGAAGTTCTCTATCATCTTCAGTGGAGATCAGATTTCTATGCTTTGTCAGCTCCCTTGGAGAGAGAACAGATGGAGGCCTCTTATAGGGTGGAAATACATCTGTTGGGAAGAATAAGCCATCATTTTAAAAGTTGGCTTGCACAATAAACTCAAACACGTAAAGAAGTATCTGATAAAAATATACAGAAAGCATTGTTAAATGTTAAACAGTTAATGTTCCCATAATTGAACACATTCTGTAGAATAAAGAAATAAATTCAGAAAGGGGCATAAGAAAGCACAATTGGTAAGACGACACTGCAGAACCAAGAATACATGAGAAACCATTTCTCAATCATGATACTAGTTCTTGTTTATGGAAGTGCTTCATATCACCTGGATCATCCAAGACCTCAGCCACAGAGAGCTGAGTAAGTGCTGTGGAATATAAACTTGCACGCTCTCCTTGGAGATATGACACATCCTTGTTTGAATTCCTTGCTACAGATTGCAAGGATAGAGATCTTCCAAATGGTAGGTCTACAGTTCCCTTAGTCGGATTATAAGAAGAAACAGAGGATATCTCATCCCTGGAGCTTTCATAGCCTTCCTCTACCCCATCATACATTTCATTGGCTCTAGACTGCCAAAGAAAAAACATAGAGTTGAATTTAGAAAATCATACACTAAAATAATTTATGAAAATTAATTCATGAAAGAATATATTCTTAGACTGGCTGATCATGACCCAAGAACTTGAAACTAGGTAGTGATACCACTTCCAATTGAACACATGGAATAGATATATCTAAAGGCACCATAACTGCTTACCCATTCAGAGTCTGCATCCTTCTCTTTCCAATATATATCCATTTGGAAGACTGTAGAAGATAAAACCCCTGCAGGTGGTGGCAGGCACAATTCAAGTTTCTAAATATAGTTGTAAAAATAAAGGGATATGTAATAGTTAGAACACATCCTGGAATCTATAGATAATTGGGACAAATAAATTTCAACTTTCAAGGAGGAACACACCATCACTTTGACCTTCTTCACTTAGAAAGCCACTGGTCTTTTGTGTGGCCCATATTTGTAGTGGAACACGAGCTTCCTGCAGTAATTAGAGTTTACATATAAAATGAACCATAGACAGAAAAAAAGAAAATGCAAAGCCTTTACAATATTTTACAAAAGAAACAATCCATATAAACATAAGGTCAAAAAACAACATAAGCTAAAATTAAAAAGTTTAAAATCATGTTTATCCCACTAAGTATGTCTTCCTAAGAGGCAATCATCACAAGGGTAAAAACATTTATCAAAGTTACCTAGATCAGAGAAAATGACCCCCTTTGTGCTATGCACCAGTAATTATAATTTACAAGTTTTTTTTTTATCAGTATAATTTGCAGGTTAAACCTTACTAGAGTTATAGGTTATTATAGAATATGTGTGTAGATTGAATTAATCTGTCCATGGTCAGTGAAGTTAGTCCTTTAAGAGGTGCCAAATGTCCTAAATAAGAGTTAGACAGTTCCACTCAAATGAAGTCCGAGAGAGAGAGAGAGAGAGAGAGAGAATCAAATAACAATAGCAACAACAATAAAAACAACAACAACAATAATAATAATAATATAGAAACTCATCATACTAGTTACAGAATTCCAACTCTTTCATTAACTCCTACAATAGGATGAGCACACAAGCTAAGCCCGGTTCTTTTGAAAACTTCTAGATTTCATAAATCATACTCTACAGAAAGTCTCTCTTTTTACATTTAGGGGGTGGGGCTGGTTTCTATTGTGTAATCAAGGTCCTATCCTAAAACCATTTTCTTATTTTTCCATTATTTATAAAAAAGATGTAGAAAGAGATAAGAGCATGAAAAGATAGAAGCTTTCTCAGTTTAACTTTTTGCTTCTTATACAAAGACAACAAGAAGAGTAGTCATGCTTCACAAAGTTAAATAACTATATATACCAAGTAACATTGGTCTTGGTCATGATATTACTTTCCAACATGCAAGCAAGTCATAATTTAACGCCATCAGCTAAATAACTATACTATTATGTTTGAAACAGAATCTCATAGAACACCATCAGCTAAAACTCAACCTTGACTATCATGTACTCAACAATCACAGAGATATTTAAAGCCATTTTCACAACCTTTTGAGCTACAAATAAAATATAAATAAATTAAACCAACCAGCTGAATGAGATCATTTATGGGCTCTCTGTGAGAATGCCCATTCTCCAATGCCAACCATCGTCCAGACAGCATGCTTCTAACATAGTAATGATAACGAATGGCAGTACCCCTGTATGATGGAGGTATGCTCTTTGGTAGTTCTGTTCGCACTATATCTGCAGATGTTCGAGGTATTTTCAACAAAAAAGAATTGTTATATCAAGCAATTACATATCAGAGGAAAATTGATTAAATGCTATGATGAGTAGGAAAGGCTAAAATCAGCATGAGCACATTATGCCAAACAACTTACTTTTTAGAACAATTAAATTAACCACAATTGAATTTAACATATTGCTGGATCTAGGGAACAGTCCAACAATATGTCAAACCAGAAGAGACATGATCAGGTTCAGGTACTTGAGTGTTTTAGAACCTTAAGGTTCTAGGCTCAAGCACAATTCAGCCCATTAGAGATCTTATATATATACATATATATATATATATATATATATATATCATAGTTTTCAAATTGCCAAGGCAAGGATAGGCAATAGAGGGTAGGGGTGTTCATTGTACAATTCAAAGTTCAAACTGCAAACTGAACCAAACCAAACCGAATTTGCAGTTTATGGTTTCGGTTTGGCTTATTAGATTTTACAAACCAAACCAAACTGTAAACCACAAATATGAATATATAATATCTAAACCAAATGTATAAAATTATAAATATATAATAACTCTTTAATTTTATAATAAAATAATAAAACAAAAGTTTCAACTTTTAACTTTTTAAGGGTGTCGTTCAGGCTTTCTAATTGGATTAAGCCCAATAGAATCATAGAATGGCCCAAAGTCCCCAAACCGTATTAGAAACCGCAGCAAACCATAATAAAACGGTTCGGTCTGGTTCGGTTTCCATGCCAAAATGGTTTGGTTTGGTCTGGGAATTTCTCAAACCGTAATTTACTAGTTTGGCCTGAGATCTTCTCCAAAATGCACCAAAGCAGACTGTGAACACCCCTAATAGAGGGATGCCTTGTCGCCTAGTTGCCTAGGCAATGGGATTTTTTTGAATAAAAATCATGAATCCTAGGGAAATTTCTTAGGTTCCATAGCAAGCAGCAGCCATCTTTCACTATTAATTGTCTATGATCTTCATAGAAAATGTATAAAAATCATTTAAAACATAGAAAATTGACATATTCATGAAAAATTAAAAGAAAGAAAAAGAAATTTCAAAAAATATATGGCTGAGACTCTATTTTTGTCCTAGAAAAAGAATAAAAGAAAAGATATACTGAAAGAAGAACAAGAAAATCAGTGTGTGTTGTTTGGACAAAATTTTGAGTTCTTCCATGCTTATTAGTTCAAGTTTTTAAGTATTGAAGGGTTCAAGACGGTATACATCTTGATTGAGCACCATGTAAGAAAAATAATAAAAAGAAAAAAGTATTTTACTTCAAACTAAATAATTTAGTTTAATAATGTCCGTTCAACTATGTGTCACTCTACATGTTAAGCTACCTTGGTTTTACCTAATTGTCATAGTTGGGTAGTATATCCTAGAGGTAGTCTCTATTTTATATGATAGTGGGTTGTTTTTGTATCATTGGTATAGTAACAATAGACATGCCTTTGCTGGGTTAATTGGTTTTTCATTTGGTTTATAACAACATGTTTGTGTTTTATTTTATCCTTTAACGTATATAGCGTGTCTAGGTTTTTTAAGAGGCCACAAGAAAGTGTTATGGCTTTGTGAGCTCATTGCTCCACATGTTAGACTACCTTCACATTTCTTGATTTTTTTTATCAACAAGAAGAAATTGATTTCATTAAAATAAGACAGTTTTAAGTTACATAAAGAGAGGGTAACCTTTCACCCAAGAAGCAGAAAACTGAGAAGCAGAGCCCAAAACAACTGCTGGCACATAGAACCCCCTATTTAGCTAATGTGTCATCCATCCCATTTGCAGCCTTTCTTGTCCAGGTAAAATTAGCATTTAGGTCCCTCTCCAAGCTTTCTATTTCCCTTAGAGCATGTTTGTAGATCCAAGGTACATTGCACCCGTTGGTAGTCCATGAAATATAAAATACTTCATATTTATTGATATTCCTAGTGAGGTAGTCTATCATATAATAGTAGATAGTTCATGTATTACTTGGGGTAGCAACAACATGAATGGATTCACTAGGTAATTTCATCTTTCATTCGATTGATAGAATGTCTATGTTTTATTAGAGGGTTGCAAAAAAGTTTGTGACCAAGTAGACTAATCGAAACCAAATCACCTTGGCATGCGTTCATGAAGTGATTTGATTTTAAATTTGATTATTAGCATGTTCGTGACTTGTTGGAGTGTCACAAGATAGTGTTGTGACCATGTGAACTTATTGAAATCAAATCACCCAGGCAAGCACTCACTAGGTGATTTGTTTTTTTCTTTTGATTGATAGCTTTTTGGTGTTTCATTGGAAAGTCACAAGAAAGTATTGTGACCATGATGAGTTGTAGTTACTCATCTTCAACTTGCGGATGACATCATCATTTTTTGTGAAAATGGAGATGAGTTGGCAGCAAGGAACCTTAGGTTGGTGGTTAACCTTTTTGAAAAAGTGACAAATCTGAAAGTGAACCTCAACAAGAGTGTGATAGCCGGGATTAAACTAAACCAAGAAAAGATAAATATTTGGGCAGAGGAATTAGGTTGTCTGCGGAGTGAGTGGCCTTTGAAATATCTAGGACTCCCTCTGGGTGCAAACCCAAAAAACTTAGGTTTCTGGGAACCAGTAATAGAGAGGTTTGAAAAGAAGTTGGCAGGATGGAAGAGAAATTATGTCTCACTGGGGGGAAGGATTACTCTTATCAGAGCCACCTTAGCAAATCTCCCAGTTTACTATCCCTCGGTGTTTAGTATGCCTCAAGCTATTGGGAAGGAATTAGAGAAGATAATGAGAAATTTTCTGTGGGAACCTGATGAGAAGAAGAGAGATCATCTAGTTAGATGGGAAGTAGCGACTAGAAGGAAGGATTTGAGAGGGCTGGGCATTGGAAGACTTATGGAGAGGAATGAAGCTCTCTTGGGCAAGTGGTTATGGAGATTCCCATGTGAGACAGATAGGCTTTGGTACAAAGTGGTAACTAGTATACATGGGCTCTCAGAGAATGGATGGGAAGCTGGAGTTTCCAGCAAGGCATCGAGCTATTCACCATGGAAAGCAATTCACAGACTTCTCCCCTCATTCCTTAGTCATATAAGATTTTATCTTAATTCAAGTAACAAAATCAAATTTTGGGAAGATATTTGGGTGGGGGAGTCTTCTTTAAAAACCCTCTTTCCCTCAATTTTTGCTCTTTCATCCCTCAAAGGTAGACCCATTGCTGATTTTCTTGCCCCCTCCCCACCCTTGTCTGGTCCGACTTGGAACCTAGGACTTCGCAGAAATGTCAGGGACTCAGAACTGGATTCTTTATCTTCTCTACTTCAGGTACTTGATGGGGTGTGGCTTGACACTTCTAAACAAGACACTAGACTTTGGTCTCCCCATCCTTTGGGTGTTTTCAGTTGTGCCTCTTTCTTCAAGTTTTTGTCTTCTCCTGCCCAACCTGAGGAACCCTTCCCTTTACAGGAAGTTTAGTGTCGACCTATTACTCACAAAGTGGGTGCTTTTTGTTGGGAAGTATATCATAGTGCAATTAACACTAGTGATCTGTTGCAAAGGAAAAGACCTAGTTGGTGCCTTTCACCAAATTGGTGCTATTTATGTAAGTCAAATGGTGAGAATGCTTTTCATATTCTTGTTTCCTGTCCTCTTGCTAGTAGCATTTGGGATTGGTTTTTCTACCTATTTGGATGCAGGTGGGACACCCCGATGAGCTTGGAAAGATTGTTTGCGCCATCTACTTTTAGATGGCCAAAGCGAAGAGGGAGAATGATGTGGAGATGAGCAATGGCAGCAGTACTATTGGGTATGATGGGAGGAAAGAAATCGGAGATTATTTGAAGATAAGGAAAGATGCAAGGCAGAAATGATAGAAAGTATTATAGTGAAGGTGATCTCATGGGTGAAAACACTGAACTTATTTTCAAATTTTACAGTGGATGATATGATTAGGAATTGGCGGCTAGTTACTTTCTCTTCCTCGGTGAAAAAGAAGATCCTGAAGGAGGAGTGGGTGCCCCCTGAACCAGGATTTGTCAAATTGAACTTTGATGGCAGCAGTTTCGGAAACCCAAGAAGATCTGGAATCGGAGGGGTTATAAGAAATGAAAGAGGAAATGTGTTGGGGCTGTATTCGGGTCCCATTGGAATGGGAAATTCCATTACAGCTGAACTGAAGGCAATGGTATATGGGATACAAAAAGCTAAGGAGATGGGGGTGGAAAGGTTGGTTGTGGAAGGGGATTCCAAAGTTATCATCAGTTGGCTAAAACAACATGACAGTACACCCTGGATATTCAGAAATGACATCAAGAAGATTAAAAGTCTATCCAAGGACATGCAGCTTTCAATTCAGTGGACCCATAGAGCAGCAAATGGATTTGCAGACCAGCTAGCCAAACAAGGGGTGAACAGGGATCAATGTTTCTGGGCTCAACTGTAAAAGTGAAAAGTAAATTTACTAGTGGATGCACTGTAGTGGGGTAGCCGAGGCTACTCATAAACTATAACCCCTGTAATTTCTTTACATTAATGAAATTTCTTTTTACTGATAAAAAAAATGTGAGTATTAGAACACATGTTAGGCTACCTTAGAGGTAGCCTCTATTTTTTCATATGTTAGTGGGTTGTTTTTGTATCATTTAGGGTAGGAAAAAGGCATGCACTCATTGGGTGATTGATTTTTCATTTGATTGTTAGCATGTCTGTTTTATAGTAGGGTTGCAAAAAGATGTCGTGACAATGTGAACTCATTGAAACCAAATTACCCAAGCATGCAATCATTCTAAGATAGTCCAAATGCTAAGTTGTCACAACTAGTTCAAGTACAAAATGAGAACTGACTTACATGTTTTTGTGCCACCTGAAGAAATGATTTGGTTTGAAATGATAGATGGCGTTGAACAATCCAGGAAAACCAGCTCACCTGTAGAGGGCAATAACAAATGAAGCAGTGCAACAAGAAGGTATCCATGTAAGCGTAGGTAAGACCCAAAATGACAATTATAAAGTTAATTAATTGGTAGCTCTATTTTCTTGTTGATATTATTCTTATGTGCATGAAAATATTCTTTTTTTTTCTTTAGGAAGGAAAGTAGGAACCTATGATCTTAATAAAACTCTATAAAACCCAATATCTTGGTAGTATAAACATGAATTCACCATAGATAGAAATCAAAAGGACAACATGAAATCACCACCAATATCTTGATTCCCCAAGGACTCAAAAGGAGGTGTTTGAAAGTTTGGGAGGTTGACCAAAAAAGGCAATCCCTTTAAAAAATTACTCTAGTAGCAACCATTTGCACAATTTGGGATGAAAGAAATAAAAGGACATTCAGCAATAAAGTTTCCTCTCCTCATGGCTGTGAAGTGGAAAAATGATAGGAATGGCATCTCCTTTGTGTGTGTGTGTGTGTGTATGTGTGTTTGAGATTGATCAATTGTATATGCTCCATAGAAAACTGACTTGACACGTTTTTTTTTTTTTTTTATCAATAACACTTTCATTAAATCATCAGTAGAAAATTTACAGGAGGAAGACAAACACACTTATCTTCCAAGAGCCACAAAGAGCCTCATGAAAGGAAAAAAAGAAGAAAAAGAGAAAAGAAGACACTAAAGTTACAGCTTAGCCCAAAACAGTGAATCCCTTTCTGCCCCTTGTTTAGCTAAACCGTCAGCTAGAGAATTAGCCGATCTTTTAACCCAACATGTCTTAACTTCCATCTGACTTGACACTTGTTTGTAGGAACCTATTGTTGAGGTCCATGGTACATGGGCAGAAATCAAATGTTATATTAACACACTAATTCTTGCTGTTTCCAGAAAAAGCATAGAAGAACCTCAACTTAATGTTGACCAGTGTAAGAAGGCTCTCAGTACGTAAGTATGGAAATCCACGAATTTTCGAAAAGTTGCAAGTGAAATCATCAAAATATAGTCCATGTTTGAGTAAAATAAATAAATGATTGCAAATTTAACAACCATCTTGATATCTACATCCAAATGAACTCACAGGAATTGGAAAAACAGACCTCTCTGATGCTTCGATCCTGGTAATGGTTTCTGCATGGAAAACCATTGAGTATCCAACTTCTCTATTCCTTTAATTTCAAAAGCAATCTTCTCAACCAGAAGTGACCATGGATCATCAGATTTATGCTCCCTCTCAGATATCTTGTTAGTGGCATTCGAGTTACAAATCTCAATGATCACAATAACTGATTCGCCAGGCCTATACGCATCTTTATCTGTTCGTATCTTCAAGGCTGGAGAACATGCAGCATTGAGACCAATGGAAGATCCATCAACCCTTTTCTCATCAGATATAAAGGAACCTCCTACCCCCAAAAAGGAGAACCGACGAGAAATGTTTGGAAGCATTTCCTCAGCACATCATTAAGTACCAGAATTATTTGACTTTCCAACTTCACAATTGGTTGAATAAAGAATCAGATACCTTTCTTTCTATTTGGACATGTCTTGGCTGCATAACAATGGCAGTAATCCATGAGAATATAGAATCAGATGCCTTTCTTTCGTGTTCCTTCATGAGATAATATATCACTATCCCATAACAGACAACAAGTACGATAGAAAGAAGACATTAACAGTAACCAATATACCAAATCATTAGAAATATACCCATAACTTAGAGGCCTCAGACTGGAGACAACGGTGTTGATTCATTTCAGGATGCAACATTTAAATTACATGGAAGTATAACGTTCAGCTGAACTATAAGTAAGCATAAAAGCATAACAATGTTGCCTAACAACTTCAAAATTTAGTTGACGATAGCATTTCATCAAAAATTATTGCAAACATCAGAAAGAATGACAGACTTTGTTGACTGAAGTAAATCAAGCATATTTATAACTGTCCTAGAAATGTTGCAGAATTTTACTGATCAAACTACACGGGAATATATACATAATCGATAATGATCATAAATTTAAAAAAAAAACAGCTATCATTGTATAAATTCAATTGATCTGAATGTCTTGGGATGTTCTAATCGAAAAAACTTAAAATAATTGGGAACTACGCCTGACATAATGCCCGATCGCAAAAATACGCCAAGACAATCACAGAATATTAGAGAAAAGTAACCATTTCAGAACCCTGATACTTTTGAAAACAGAGTACTTAGAGAATCAAAATAATGCAATGCCGAAGTCAGAGCTCCATAAGAGAACCGCAAAAATTAATTGATTTCATCCGTTCAATCGGAAGTGAGATTTAGTAAACAGGATATTACTAGTTCAAATAGGTGTCAAATCAAAGAAAAACAGATAGTAAAACGACACCAGTTGATGCATGGAGAAAAATCAAATAGAAAGGCAAAACAGTCGTAAATTCAGAGCGTATGTGTAGCCAATTTCAGAGAGATAATTAACTAGAAAAAAAGGGGAAATGAATCATAGAGTGGATGAAAGGAGAGTACCCTGAATCAGCGCAAGGCATCTTTATTTTCTAGTTCTTCAATTTCTCCCCATCTTACTCTGCGTGTATTTCTCAAAGACGAAATTTAATCGCGGGGAGATCACGGCCAGAGGAAATCTGTGTCTTCGGCGCCACTTTATTACGTAAATGCCCTCTTCGGTACGTTATCATGGACAGCGGGACAGATCACAGAATTTTTATTTGCTATTGCTGGTGGGGCGGGCAATAGACTCCAAAAGTCCGAAACCCAATCCGACGTCCTATCGGATTAAGAACAGAGACCGATTAAAATTTATTATTATATTATAAAGTTTAACATTATTAAACTCAAACTGTTATATTTTGAACTTTTATTATATATATATATATATAAGTTAAAATGTAATTAATTTTTTAATAACCTTTCAAATTTTATTTATATTAAGCATCTAGATTAAAATCCAAATCCGATCCATATGCCAATAACCATAAAATTAGTAGGGCTGCAAGTCGGGCCGGGTTAGGTCGGGTTGAGGCCAACCCTAGCCCAATCCTAAGTTCTAAACCCCAACCCAACCTTCAACTCGACCAACCCAACCCTAACTAAATTGCTTCAACCCTAACCCAACCTTCTTGTCATCCCTTAAAACCTCATAGAATTTCTCAATTTTAGATCTTAAATCAACTTTCACTACATATATTAATCCTATGTTTCATTATTATTTGTTTACTAACGTTTTTTTGTTCTTTTGATACAAAACTCAGAAAAAACAAGTGTTAGAAATGACTGTAGTTTATTATGAGTTATGACTTACGATATATCTTTCTTGGGCGATAAACAATATAGAGGAGATGAAGAATAAAATTTTCAAAAAACATAAAATAATGTTATTAAGGTTTTAGTCTTTCTAATTAGGATTAAGTGAAGTGATTATCTTAAAAGAAACGCATGATACTATGTGGTAGGGCTATACAAATATCATGCATCTAAACAATTAATGTATGTTATATATTACATATAATATATACTTATATATGACATGTACTATAGAGTTGGGTTCAGGTTGGGTCGAGTTGGCTAAGGGGTCAACTCTAACCCAACCCGAAGTAAAGTTGGGTTCATGAATTTCAACCCTAACCCTAACCCAAACATCAACCCAATCCAACCCAACCCAACATTTTCGGGTTGGATTCGGGCCAACCCGCCCCAAGTTGCAACCTTAGAAATTAGGGATGCAACGGATCAGATCGGATTCAAATCAGGGCATATCCCAAATCCGATCTGACATTTCGGATCTGATCCGATTCGAAGATTCGGTCAGATTTGATAGACCTCAATTTGAATTCAAATCCTATCGGTAAGTTGGATCTTCCGATCTGATCCGATTCGACTTGTTTTTTTTTAAATAATAAATTATTAAAAGAAAATTAAAATATACCAATTTAAATAAAGGAAAAACAAAAAATACAAGTATTTTTTTAAATTATTTTCACCATATATATAAATGTTTTTATAAAAAATAAATAATATGACAAATTTATAAAAATGCAATATAAATAATATATTTATAAATAAATAACATATATGTATTATATATATATATTCTTATATTTATAAATATATAATATACATTGGATCAGATAGGGGTGACCCAAATCTAATCCAATTTTATGATTGGATCATATTATTTGACTCGATACGATCCAAAAATCCAAAAGGGGTGATCCTAATTCGACCAACTAGGATTAGATTGATCCATTTGCACCCCTACATGAAATCTCATGCATGTAAGACTGCACTGCCTAATACAACTTTTTTTTTTGGTAAGAGTATTGGCTAATGGGTTTGACTATAATATAGAAAAGATATGATAACTGAAAACTTATAACCAGTCAACTAGAATCATAAACGTGATAGCCAATCAGTTGTTAATTATCAAAATTCATGGGTGGGTTTTGATTGGTCAAAACTTATCCCATATCATGTCTTTCCAGCATCATAGATTTTCCCTTGACTAATATGTCGGCACTTTAAACCTTGCATTTTACCATATGCCCATTATACCAATTACCACTATCAATTTATCACTTGATAAAAAACATTAAGTACAAGTTTTTTATGTTTATATTATATCTATATCCCTTTTGAGTAGTTTGGAAATTGGAATTGGATGGTAATGATGATGATGAATGATGACAAATTCATTTATATCCCTTTTTAATTTTATATGATTAATGTATTTATAGCCTCTTTCGTTCTTTAGAAAACTATTTATCTAGCTAAATGCACTTACTCGAATAAATGTGCTTGAAAAATAGTTATCTGGGTAGGAAGCACTTATCCAAATAAGTGCATTTTTTATCCATGTTCTTTTACTTCCCAGGTAAATAATATAATGATTGTTTTACCCATAAAGAGTCATTATTAAAAGGGGCAATTTTGTCCAATCCAAATATTAGCAACTTTCTCCCAGGTAAAAAAATTACTTACCCACCAAGTGATGAGGTTACAAATGGATCAAATCATGATCCGATCTGATCCAATCCGAAGTCTAATCCCATTTTTTGGATCCAGATATCACTATTTCAGCTCTTTGGATTAGACCGAATAATAGGATCCATTGTTTTATTTATTTTTTTTTATAAAAAAAACATGTATATATTTGATGAAAATAGTTAAAAAGATACTTGTATCTTTTGTTATAGTTTATTTTTCTTTTAATAATTTATTATTTTTTAAATTTAAATCAAATCAAAAACTGAATATCCGACTTACTTACCGGATTCGAATTCAAATCCCTGTTTGTGAGATCCGATCAGATCGAATTCAGACATACCATGATTCGAATCTGATCTGATCCCTTTGCATCCCTACCAAGTGATACCCAAAGAAAATAAATTTTTCATGAACCCCACATAAATCTGAAAAAAAAAGAACATGAATATCTTGATCAATAGAAACCCAAAATCCTATTGACCCACTGTCTCTCTCAAAATCTAAAAAATGAACAAACCCTACAAGTATGTGTTTCCCTGGTGTATCTATACATATCTAACTATTTCACAATGTAGCATCCATATATACCATGGAAAAATCGAAAGGCATGATACGGAAAAGCTTTGACCATCAAAACACCCCTGTTAATTTTTACACCCCTATTAATTTTATAATTACCACCTATCACTTCTAGGATGCCAATTGATTGGTTATATATTTCCTCAATATCATGTCTTTCCTATAATTACCAACTTGTAGGACAAGTAAGCTGGTAATTTGGAATATACAGAGGGGCGTTTGTGGGTGCCCTCCCAATCACATTGTATAGGACAGCCAATACGAGTCGTCACTGGACTTCTCTGGAGAGGGATTCATTATACTTTATTTTCCCACCAACCAAACAAGGGAATGTTCATATGTTATGTTGCAAGTCACCGTAACCAGAGGGGACTAATGCTGGTTGACAACCATTTCCAAACCCGGTCTTTGGCCTGGGTTTGGACTCATTGAGAATTTCTGGAAGAGCTCCCTTCATAGTAAATCCCTGTAAAAAAAATAAAAATAAAGATAGGATAATTTGATAAACATAAACTTTCATATGCAAAGCATTTTTTTTCCTTTTTTTTTGTGTGGTTTCTAGTATGTCAAGCGGATTTAAGGCAAGAGGAGAATAGCCATATTACCCCATCGATTTGGCATGTTTGGCAGGGTTTTATTATATTTCATTTCTATATTTACGGTTTTCCACCAAAATAAATCATTGATAATGATTTTCAGGTCTGAAAGGGGCTTACCAGCCTTAAGCTGTAAGGATTAAAGAGTGAAAAATCTCATACAGATAAGACCTTTTCTGAAGAAAACAAGGAAAGAGTTGTTTAAAGATTAATTTGGGTATTTTGAAAAACTTAAAAGGCCACAAGATGCCTACATGACCATACCTGACAGAATGGTAACAGAAGAGGTAATTTAATACACGATTGAATGATTGGGGAGGTATTTGGGGCTTTTCACAGTTCAGGTTTTCAGATAGTAACACATCCCCCATGATCCAGGGGGATTTTGGAATTTTCCCTTAAAATGACACCTACACAGCGCAGTTATCATTTATGGCAACACTATGAAGGGAATGGGATTGATTCTTAACAAATAGTAATCTAAAGCTTTTCAACATAATTGACCACGGGCTACTTTATGATGTAGCTATTTGCACATTTCCCCCTTTTTTCCATTTCTTTTTCAGCCTCGGACATTCAGTAAAGTTATCATCCCCCAAAACATCCCATAATGAAAAACTAGACAAACCAATGTACAACCACAATGCCAAAAGCCAGTCCCACAAAGGCACAAACCCCACCAACCAACTAACCAAGGAAAAGGAAACACAACATGACAACAAGGACAAAAAGACCATTACATTACAAAGCCCCGAAGAGAACATGCAGCAACTCCCAGATTATGGGAGGATAAGGCCATATTTTAACTTACCTGGGGTCCACAATGCGGACCCTATGGACAAGAATACCAACCTGCCGGTCTTTTAAATTACAAGGCTACTTGTGACGGCTGCCTCCAATGAGAAATAGACACTGGTTTTTCGAAATATTATCACACACAAACCAGACCATCATTGACGAGATTCCAGCCTTCTTTCTGCAAGCTCTTCAACCATCCAATGAGACGATGTTATCTGTTTGAATCTGTTAACAGTGCCAGGACCTCATCATCATTGAAGGTTGTCTCTGCTGCATGATCAAGAGGAGTCTTGCCTTCCCTATCTACAGCATTTGGATCAGCCCCCCTGCAACCAGATCAGTGGTAATTGTTCAGCAGTCCTTTCATAGAAAATGAAGGATAAGAGAGCAAGAAAAGTGTTTCTACCTTGAAGAACAAATACTTCGATATATAATAGTATACAACAACAAAGAACTTGAAAACATAAATTCAACAAGCTTTGATTTGTCTAAAGTCCAGATAATCTTGTCAGAAATTTGTCAAAGCCTTCAAATGTCCCAATCACAAGATAAACCAGTAAAACTGCTTGACTGAGTACAATCATCCAAATATTTGTACAAGATATGTACATGATTTTCATAGCAGCAGGTTACTGTTTCTTACAGTCTATAGGTCTATGTTATTGTGGACTGGGATTACACTCTTCCTGAATAATGTTGGGGAAAACACTTTCAACTAATTCCAAGACAAAGATACGGGGTATAAACCTAAATGATGAAAGGTACTGAAAACTAGACAATAGAAGGTAAAGAATACAGGAATTCTAAGAAGTGTCCAAAGTTGCTAAATGGCCAACACCAAGAAATCTATTGACAAAAATTTAGCCAAATACGAAGCATGCCCAAATGGTAGCTAAAATGATGCTGTCCCAAATGCTCTCGTCTTATACAAAGAATATTATCTCCCATTTATGATGACAACAAAAACAAAAATAGAACTTTAGCTATAACAAACAGTACAAAATACTACTATAGCCCCACATCTTGTGTAGATTACTATTTTTCATCTTCACCCAAAAATAACAACAATAATAATAGCCCCATAGTAACCAAGAATTTGCAAATTGTTATATGGTACTATACACCTTGTTAAGTTTTCCACATACAACACCCTTCTGGTATGTAGGATGCAAGAAGACTTCAGCAATGTCTACATAAAAATTAAAAGAAATTCCTAGTAATGCCATTAAAGTTCATGAAGTTTTGTTTTCTAAGAAAGTAACCTTGCAGGAAATTCGATCTGAAATAAAATAATTTGAGTTTGAGCCCTAACCAATGATTCATAAATCTAACAGAGGATCAGGAAATACCATTAAAGGGGTCCCACCTAAGAGATTATCCAGGTCAAAATACAGCATTATTGCAAGGCTAACTGGGTAAATAATGCAGTCATTTGGGAGTGGAAGAACAGTCTTATTACAACTCAAACTACAAGTTGTGGGTGACAAAATAACTTCCATCTCATGGCAATTTTGTACATTCAATCTTCTTACCAAGGGCCTATTAAATGGTTGGTCATCCTATAATACATTAGTAATCTACGGTTTATAAGTTTATTGCTTGCACAAGAAAAGGTCCCCAACTTTATCTCAAGCTTATTGCAAGAATAATCTTCTCTAAGAAAACTTTCCATGACAAAATGGAGAAACAAAAGAACTTTACATCACCTAGTACATAAAATTTGAACCTGAGGAGAATAGCTTGGAGGCAAAAAGAATTACCAGAACAATAAGCATTATTTAGAAGGAAAAGAATAGTCACCTTGTAAGAAGCAATTTAGCAAACACAGTTTTGCCTCCAAGAATACAATGATGGAGTGGCGTCTGCCCTTTTGAATCTGGGACATTTATATTTGCTCCATACTGTAAAAGGAGCTCTATCATTCCTATATCTGCAGTTTGACAAGCAAGGTGAAGCAAGGAGTACCCATCAAAGCAATTTGCATTCCCCTCTTCATTTGCACTTGCTGACTTTAAAGAGTTTGCTGAGAAGGCATTGTCCAAAGAATCCCCTGATAAGCAGCTGGAGCTCTGTTCGTGGTTTGACTGCTCTTGCAACAACATCACTTTTAAAGATGTGCTAAAAGATGCTTGTCCATGCACTCCATTGATATCTGCTTCAGAGCTAACAATATGGCGATACACTGCTTTTTTGTCATTGGTACGAACACCATCCCACATCCGTTGGGCTATCAAAAGTAGATACTGATCATCCTTTGGCTTGCAAACAAAACGCTTTTCTGCATACTGCACATGAAAAAAAAATGAAAACAATGTAACCAACTAACCAGGCAAGCATAGAGGCTTTTTTTTTGTAACTGGATAAATATTTTATTAAGAAGAAAAAACTTYACAATCAGCCCAAAGAGAGGCACAACATGCAACCTCCCTTTAAAATAACAGCTTTTCAAAGCTTAAGCAATTACAAAGCAGCCCAAAATAATTGTTCCCAATTAGCCCCTTGTTTAGTAAAATTGTCTGCCATTACATTTGCCAATCTGCTCACCCATTGAAACCTAATAGTCATATCGCTTGTAAGACAAGTAACTTTTTTTAGAAAATCCCTATAACACCAAATAACAAAATTTGGATCCGACAGCCACCCCACAACCACCTTAGAATCTCCTTCAATTAGTAGATTCTCCACCCCAAGTTGGTTAACAATCTGGATTCCTTGTATGACAGCTAGCAAAATAGAGGCATTCTTCACATACACAAGGGAAAGAACCCCAAAAGAATTTGTAATCTAATTTCATAAACATTGCCAATATTATTAATATATTTGCTATTATTACTTTACCTCCTAAGTGGAAAAGTTCTATACTTTTGAAAAAATTTAATATACAAAAGAGAGAAGGAACAAAGTATAACCATGACATAATCCAAACAAACAAGCTAAAACCCATAAAATTCACAAGGTATGTTGGTTGAGTCATTGACGACTCAAATAGCATCTATCATTTTGCTTACAAAAAAGGAAGTTTAGTTTCTCGTTTACACAAATATACCAGATTCTGGTTAATCACCACCATACAGTATAATAAAATTGGATGTAACAAAATTATAATATGCTGGAGTTATCCATTGTTGAAATTTTTACTCTTAAATCAATTCTCAGATGCTGAGGTGTGATGTGAGGAGTTTCACTTGCCTTAAGCATAAGACTCACAAGCATGCATATTTTTAGTAAATAATAAATAAATAATAATGTTTCACAATTCACAAAGATTAAAAAACCATCTTTTTTGTTGGTAAAAAATATGATAAATGAGGCTACACACATTGGTGGTGATGGGACAGCCAGTAGTAACCTCCAATAAGATTAAGACACGTGGCAACCGCGAGGATGTCCACGTCTCAGGGGGTATCCCCAAAGATCAATAAAAACAATGTAAGAAAGCTCCTGATTCTCTCGTAAGTCAACAGGCTCATTGTAAAAACCTTTTAGACACACATGCACGCATCATTCTTCATTACTTAATTTACATTTTATAATTAATTATTTTTTAACATCTTTTGGACTCCCTCCTTTAATTTAAATATGAAAAAAAGAGCAATGTACAATTCATAATTAATTTCAAAATAAAATTAATTTTTTATTGTTTTAATGAAAGACAAAAATGTATTTTGACAGACCCATAAAATAAGTTTTTAATTATGATAGTTCTAGGATTAATTTCTAATGATTGTAGTTCCTAGGAATGAATATGTAAAAGCTATAATTATTAAAATGTAACACAATTCTTCTTTTTCACTTCATAGAGAAGATGGCGATGGTGGCACCACCACCACCACCACACACACATACACACAGTTCAGGATTGAAGCATATCTTACACTTCATGTAAGAGTCAACACTTCAACCCATGTAGTGTAAGCCTCATGGCTCTTGAGTGCTTGGTTGCAATTTGAGGACAACCTCACCTCAAGGCCCACCTTTAAGTGTAAAAAGACTCATAGACATATGAAAACATCACTTTAAGATGATCTTGGTAAAGATAACACTTTTAACTGATATTGATTTGTGAAAATATGGGTACCTGTTTACTTGAAATCACAGCCATCAGCTAGGTATATTCACTGTTAGTGCTGATTAGGATTCATCAAATGAATCCCCAATGGATTAAGATTGGAATAAAGGGAATTCTATAATAGGAATTGGTCCTTGCTCTCACTCCCATGCTTTAAGTTTCTTATCATCAAGCAGTGTGTAATCAATGGAATACAGAGGTAAGCCCATTCATGGAAGCATTCTGGATCAAACTTGTGCATAAGGAATGGCTAAAGTATGTTTTCTATATAATTATGTTTCTCATATATGCAATGATTCTAGGTTTATTGGGACTTTTCATGGATCCAATCTAGCACCCTTGTATATACATATTTCTTTAACTACCAATGAAAGATTGTTCTGTCTTCAAAATATTTTAGCAGCTCATGAAGCTTAATCAGTGAGGTTTCACCTCTTATTTAACGGCTTTTTAACAACCTTTATGATAAACCAGCATTAAACAGTGCAAGAAACTGAATCGGATATGCACATACATGTATGCAAACACCATGTACATGTCAAACATATCCACATACATATTAATTGATGCAGATACTGAAGCAATGAAAGAATTGTGGAGAAAGAAATCAATTTTTCAATTCGAACACCAATTTCATAAGTTTTGGTTGATAGGATATTGACATTGTTTGAGTTTTTTAATTTGTTTTCTAGTCCTAGGTGTCTTAAGAATAGGGTCCTAAGCTTTCCAGAAAATTTCTGTTATTTTGGAATTACTATTTATGGTAACTCTGGACTTGCTATTTGTAGCAATGCCAATTCCAATAATTATTATTTATTGTAAAATTAAGATATACTCGTCATCATCACCTGAGCCTTGTCCAAACCACATAGAATCGGCTACGTGAATCCTGTTTTCCCATTCCATTCTCTTCAGTGAGATTGGTAATGTTTTATTGGAATCATTCAGGAGTTGATAGTTCTTATTTGAGCAATTAAATGATTGGGGCCAGTTTTCACTTATATTATCGATCAACAACTAGAATTTGCCATGATAAGATTCTGACTTCAATAACAAGAAAGACCAGTTGAACAAAGTGTATATTCTCTTGTAAACCATGTTATATCACTTCCAAATGACTGAGATTTTCCAAAGGGATGAGAAAAATATGGGCAACACTGTTCAGAGAAATACCTTTGCATGAATGAATTTTTCCTTTACTGAAATAGGGTCAGCATGACTAGGTTTGTTCACAAGAAGGATCTGGTGTTTATCAGATTTGGAGCAACTGCACAAAGATGTTCAGCAATACCAAGTTAAATTACACACTTCCAACAAAATATATAAATAGCCATAAAAGGCTTTTAAATATAATAATGCACTCATTTCTACTTACCCTATGGAGAATTCATCAGCCTGGAAAATACTCCTTGATTGCAATAACTCTTCCCAGACCGAGTTTGCATATGTATTACCCAGCGATTGAAACAAAGTTATGACTGAAGGCTCCCAGACTTTCACATCAAGCGTTAGTGACCTTACCTGCAACAACCACAAGGCACAAGATCAGAGAAAATCAGAACAGAAAAAGAACATTAAATTCATCAATACTGATATTAAGTAATGTGAGGACAAGAAACTTCTCTTAATTGCAAACAAGGCACGCTTCCACATGATTCAATATCCGAAACACAGCGGAAACTTGGAATAGAAGAGAATTTTACCAAGCTTGGCAAAACATCTAGACAATTGATCTGAGTTCCTCCAGACAGCCCCTACTCAATTGAAGATATCCTTCCTTTCAACCCCAATTGTATGTGTTCATTTTTCAATGATCTGACCACTATGAAAATTTGACTGTCTGAAGGTCTGAAGTTGCTGATTGGGCCCCACTCGAATAAAATTATGAAAAAGGAGTATACCATAATTTCTAAAATTTGAAGCTAATGAGTTCGTGAGAAGTGTTCCTTCCAAGGTTTCACTTCATGCAATTTTCAGAATCTGCCAACTAGTTTAATTTTGGTTATCATTTAAAAGTTGATAACTAATATACAGGGCTTACTTAATTACCATGTTTAAAATTTGTCTGGCACTGAAGTTGATCCCATTCCCTTGTATACCAGGTCTCTAAATCTGTTTTTTATACTAAAATAGAATTCATTGAAAATAAAAAATAGAAATTACAGAGGGAAGATGATAAAAAATCACCTGAGAGAAAAGATAAACCCAACAACACAATCAAATCATTCACAACCTAAACGAAACTGACCAGGAAGAAAGCAACTCTCATTAACAACAATGCTCCACCTCATCAACAGCCACCCTGACCAGAAAAACAACTCTAACATACTCTATTTAGAGGCTGTTTTTTTTTAAAGATGAATAAAAAAGAAAATTCATTACAAAGACAGAAGGAATACAAACAGGGGTGATAAGAAGTCACCCCAAATAGAAAGAAAAGCCACCCCAGAAAGCAACCATACAAAACAAAAACACAAATCCCCTACACTTTTGAATCTTAGAACCTACTCCACACAATTACAATTCTTCACTCACCCAATAGCAAAACCTTCAGCTCCCACTACCCCACTCTCCTACCTCTTAAACTTTCTTTCTCCAAAATTGACAACCAATTTCTTCAGTTTCTAAGACTTTTCTTCTGCTCCCATATTTTTTTAACTAGACTCTTTGTTCTGATGCTGTTGAAATCACGCTTCCTGTCTTTCTCATCTCTTCTCTTAGAAAAGAACGTGTATTTCCCCTGAACACCTGTCTTGCAAATTCCCCCCCCCCCCCAATGAATGAAATTTCAAGAATTTTTTTTATCAATGAAATTCCAAGAATTTTACTAACTTGAACCTCTGTTTCCACCACCTTCTCCATATTCACCTTTCTCTGCACTGTATAGATCCTATCCACTTCCACTTCCTTGGACCATTCCTACTTTTCCTCCCCCCACCTGCTTCCTTTCTGTTATTTTTCTTTCTCTTATACACCTGGTGATTCACAGATTAACATCCCCTGATTCCGCCTCATAGCCCTCCTTTTTCTCCGAGATCTTCTTCTCTCCAAACCACCCCTCTTCACTTTGCTTGTCAGACTCCTCTGCTATGTCCTCCTCCGTTTTTTCCCCTCACAGAATGTTATCACCACTGCCCCTCCTATCTTCTTCTCCTTCCCTTGCAAAATTCACCTTGCTTCTCCCACTGTCTTCTTCAAACCGCCCCTCCCTTTGTTCTTCAGTTCCAATACCCTCTTCCCCTTCCTCTTCAAAAGTTAAAATCCCACCCTTCTCCCCAACCAAAAGATTACTTACATGTATATCCACCTCTTTTTCTTTGTCACTTGTATATCCAACTTTATTGAAACATCGACCATCTTTAAGGCCCCCATGATTAGCTTGAAGTTCCGTTGCAACTTCTACCAGGTTCCCACAATCTGGACCTTCCACCACGTGTGCCACTTAGGAAAGTACCCCTATTTACCTCCTTAACCCTGGACCCCCTTCAAATTTACAACACCACCCCCTATCTCAACCCTTCGACTTCAACTTCTTTCAATGTTTCATCTTCCTCCACTTCTATGTGACAATTCAACCTCTCCCCCCCTTCCTCTGCTATCATGCTCGGAAACCTCCCAATCAACTCCCCTTCCCCCACTCCTATTAAAGATGAAAAGGAACAAACTTGCATTGAGTCTTCTTGTTCATTTGGATCTGAATCCAAAAAATCATCCTACTAGGCTCACTTGTAAAACCTCCAAGTGAGTCATCATCTTCCCACAATCCTTCACCACCACCCCAGAGATCATCACCACCATCCCTACCAGAAACCTTCTGAATTAAACTTTCATGCTCACCCCTCTTCCTTTATACA